CTGTTGTGTTGGTATATCAACTTTACCCGATGGTCACCGCGCTTGTCCATGGCAGAGAGGATCCAGATCTTTAATTTTACTTTCTCTCAAACCTTCGTCCTCATAGTGCTTGACCAGAGGCATCGCTAGCGGCTCAGAACTGCGTGGCTGCTGTGAAGCAGAAGATCCCAGATACAAGGAATTGTAGAGACATTGCGTTATCTGCAACAGAGCTCTACACGTCGTGGTATGGCTTCAATAAGCCTTCATTTAGCACTAGGTGCGCTCGCATTCGCTGCGGATATTCAGAGTAAATTCGACGCCCTATCTGACACGATCATAAACGATCCGGTGTAGCGCTGTCGCAACTTGATCTCACAGACCGCAGATAGGCTAAGTGGTTGCATGAAATAAAACAAATGATCACATCACAAAGTATTCTTGTGTGTTTTCGCTTAATTCTGACGTTTTCTTTTCGTGTTTTGCTGTCTACCGTAGCATCACGCACACTGCGCACGACGGTGAATCTTATTAAGTTAATTCATGAAGTGTATCTGGGCAGAATCAGTAGGTCAAATTGCATTGACAATCCCTTCCCTTTGAGAGTAGAGCCGCATTGTGATGGTATCAAAGTAGCCCAAGGATTCCTGACAACTTTGATAAAGTAAGGCAAAGACTGTAGAGAATATACTGCGTTACCCTACACAAACTCAATGAGCTGGTGCAATTTGCTTCAGCACCGCGATCTCTCCGCGCAAGTGCTTCGAGGATATCCTCCTAATGCAATTAATGCTTTCCATCGGGTAGTCTGTTCGCAATTGACATTACCTACCTGTCACCAAGCGATCTTTACATTATTTATCTTGGCCGAAATTTGAACGCTACGGGCGGATCTCTATCCGATACAGAGGCTACCGGCAGTCCGTGTTAGCACATCACATGCATAACTATCGGCTACCTAGCCCCGTACCGTATTCTTGCTGGTGTAATAATTTCATTTTTACCCAAAATACCAGTGAGATGAGCAATCTTGTTCTGACGGCCCACACAGACCACGATACCGGTACTACTGAACGCATCATAGAGATGACCGAAAAGAAACTTCATTTGTAGCAATTGCCAGTCATCCGCCAAAACTGGCAGGTAAACCAAAGGTGCCGCCATATGAGGTGTGGATTGAACTTGAACTTGCTGGCACGTTTCGCACGTGTGCACATATGAGCTTGCTCTCTTACACATGTAATGTCGCCAAACATATCGCTCACTAGGCAGTATGCCACTCTTTTTCCATCTAAATTGTTAGTCTATGCCTTGGCGGAGGTGGTGCAGTATCAGCTGGTTACTTAATATTCTTATGCAACAAGTTGGTCAGGTCAAGCTTATTCCCCATGTCCGTTTTGGGCTAATTGCACTGGTCACTTATCAAAGGCCTTTCTTTGGGGTATCTGCCCGCCGGCTCTGCTACCCAATGAGCCAACTAAGAAAAGGGGACAGAGACGCACTTGTCTACATCGGCAAATATCTCATTTACGGGAAATACTCGATTGCTGGTCACAAATATTTTATGTGTTCTCCGGTTCCAACTTAACGTGCCCTGCATGACTTCGAACAAATATATTGTCGCAAAAGGTATGTGCAAGGCCATGATGTGGCCTGAAGAGCAATGTCTCCAGAAGATCGAGTGTCGCTGGTGCATAAGACAGTCCCTACGGAATACTCGTATTCTCCTTATGTATCCCGCTCGAAGCAATCACGAAAGTAAGAGGTATATCTCTACTGCTCATCAACAGTTGATAGTAAGTATTAACTTAAATGAGGACACTAAACAAGTGCAGCCGGCTATGCTTTTCTGCGGTATATCCTTTCCAAAATTGTGGTTTTATTCAGCCCTTTGTAAGCATGCACTATTAGCCACTTGCCATTTCCCTTTCTGACACGGAAGGTTCGCGCCGAGTGTGAAGTTTACTGTCGTTCACCCGCTTTGTGTTTTGCACGAAAGAAAGTATCAATGACGTCACAATACTCTTTTAGGTAGGGTCGCTGTCGTGTGATACAAACTCCGATTCCGGGAATCAAGTCAATTTTGTGACACACACTCTTTAACGGGGGTAGCCCATGCGCAGGATCTCTCGTCACTGCGACTTGATACTTCGTCATCAAAAAATACAAGAAATTTGTATAGTCCTTGAGGATAGCGGTCTCAATCCTCGCATTCAGTGCGCTGCAAGTATCCTCATTGATAGAATCGCCAATAACGGAAATCAGTTCAGCTCCTCCTCTCGTACTAACTGTGCCATTTCTGTGCCCTTATCGTCTTACAACTCGTTACGCAAATCCTCGAGATTTTTTGCCAGCTTTGTAAGTGCTTCTCCCGTAGGTAATCAGGGAAGACTTACAACTGCTAGGACACCTGTGGTCACCCGTTTTACGAATATACAACAATTTCTTGCCATTTGGCTTTCGAAGCTCCATCCTTCCGCACGTTGGGACTATTACACGGTATTGCTACCACGTGTTCTTGATAAGAATGAACTCGTCAAGCTAATCGATCAAGTCCGATTTTCACAAACAGTCACTTCCCCTCTCCACCAGCTGCAAACGGCCCCCAGTGCTCCAAATTATCTTGCCAGAGATATGCTCGTAAAACATAATATACCGTAGTCCCTATTCGTCTAGATAGAACATTTTGATAAAAAACCATTGTCTTTCGTCTTATCTTGAGACCACTTCGCATTACCGCTTCTGCCTTTCGAGCTCTGCTCAAGGCGCGTTGTTTTCAAATTTGAACAACTCGGTGTCATGCCCCAGATATATTGTAGCATTGTGCACGCGCATAAAGCGCTTTTGCTTCCTGGTAGAGGGTTAGTAACTCGCCATACTACATCAAAGAAATGAGTAGCTCAACAAAGTTCCAACTTCCCGTCGTCTCAAGCCAGCCATGCCTAAATGGTATATATAGGACCTACACCATTCTACGCTGTATTTTGAGCGCACAACATAATGTTTGACGGCGCACTAGCGTTTACGCGTATCTGCACCAACGTGTTGTACATAGCATTTCCAATTCGTCCTCGTACTGACAACGTTTATACACAACACACCTTGATGTATCAGAATTTCGATGAGTTCATCAAACTTGAGAGGTTGATATCATCATCATCATTCAACAACCATGGGCTATGAGCTCCGTTTTTCCATAGAGAGAGTTGCTCCATCATTGGTTTGGTGTCATTGACCGCGACTTTCAAGAGATACAATAGAGCCTAGTAATTTTCATTAGATTGCCCGGCATATTCTAGGTCTCAATTTTTCTACACGATAATTTCTTTCACCGTCTTGTCTGGAAGCCGACTCTATGTAGGGAGGAGCCTGACTCTATGTACCTATTCAACGAACGCAAAGGGGGTGCACAAGGCGCTGATGTACCACGAATCTGCTCAGCAGCTTAGGGAGCTCTATCTTTTCAGCATGGCTAGATCAAATCGTCTCTGGCACGCTCGAAGATCATACCCTATTCTCTTCATATGGCGCGAAGGCTGTGCTTTGCATTTTAGCGTGACGTTGACCTAGTCCTTGAAAGAGTTCAATTGGACACGGTAGGTCTCGAATTGGGCCGCACTCATATGGAGATTATTCATGAAAAAAACCATCACCGTCTCCGAAAGGATCTAACGCCTTTGCGGTGATAGAATCGATATATCGGGGCATATTTCGTCGGGTTTTGCTTCACTTGACGGACAGACAAGAAGTCCAAAGTACTTAGTACGTCCAATGAAACTGTATGAACAGCTACGACATCTTCTGCTCCAAATTATCCCCCGCTGGAAACGCCCTTTTACCGACGTACTTCACATCAGTGCCTTTTCTCACGTGTGATCTCCTAGCTCGTTAGTTATTCTCGTTTGGAGCAAAGTCGATAACATTGCCATATCATCTCATCTCGTCCGAAGCGTAAGCATTTCTTGATCTCGGCCTTCAAAGACTCCGACTCTCAACGTGAGCGGACTTGTCGTCGGAAACACCTATTCTTCCATCAGTACCCGGTTTTGACGATCCTAGGCGTGCCTCACCAGACCAATACAGAAGCTGTCTAAATTGCGATTATATCTTCGGCCCTCTAGCATCTAACTTCGTGATTGCTTCGAGCATCAGACGAAAGCCAAAATCTTATCAAGTTGGTATATTTGTTTTTGAGACAAGTATTCCAAATCCCAATCCTCTTATTCTTGTAGAGGATAAAGTCTAAAAATGACTCGGTCGTGGAATCAACCACGAGTGATACTAAGTCAACAAGTTTGTCGTGCACTAGGAATTTTCACTTTCAAAGTCTACGCTTTTAAATTCATTCAGGTGTTTAGTTGTACGCTCTTTCGAAAGCAAGAGCCTCTATAATGACCAACACTCTTTGTTTGCTATGCTATTTCAAAACTATAAATGTATGCTCTATTTCTCACCATGATACATCCTTTCTTTCTAACGTCCACCTGACCGTCCATATATACCCTCGACTCCTTTCTTTCGGACTTCCCTAATAATTGAAATACACTTGTGAATATCACATGTGTAAAATGACTAATTTGAACAATTGTCCCGCATTGTGATTGGTACGATTGTATGAAATATGTTGGGGTCAGGTACACATGATAATATTATTTGCCTCCACAACAAAGATTACGAGGTTAAGGAACAGTGACATACTCTAAATTCAACCTGTATATACATTTGCTTGGGAGAATGCTTTTAAAACAGTCAGTTTTGGCCGGACTGCATATATTTTGTCATATCTCAGTTTCGATGTTGCAGCATTGTGCAATACTAAAAAGACCCAAAGTGGCTTTATCGCATCGTTTAATAGTCTGAGCTTGCAATCCTAAACTACTCACTCGAAATATATATGTAGTAGTGGTAATAAGTATTGTCAGTATGACTGCGTAATTCGACTGCTAAATTCATTGTTAGCGCTGGCCACGTAATCCTTTCTGATTTGTACTAGATTATTGCAGTTAATACTTATCCCCTAATTACAGCCAATGGAAGGCGCGCATCATAGCAACACCATCAAGTTTTGGACAAAGAGAAGGACTACATGCAGTGTCGCTATGCTTCGGGGTCACTAGAAAAGCCATATTTACACTACGCGTTGAGGTACTAGGTCTATGCAAAAGAGGTTCATACAGTAGGTCTGAGCCCACATTATATCTGTTTCAAGCGAACTTTTGTACAATATAATTCATCCCGGAGCAGTTGTGCAGCCGGGCTGCCGTAACTCTTTGCTTAGAGGAAGCTTACTAAGGTCACCGACCTTACGTTATATACTAGAACCAATACAAGCTTAGCGAATCGTAATCCGCTACCTCCACGAGTACCCAAAACCTTAACCAAGGCAAATACACTTTTCCGTTCAAAATCAAATGGTATTCATCCAAGTTCTACATCTATTTGCGAGATTCACGTAGGTGCCTTTACTGTCATCAATGACAGCAGTACGTAGCACAGTTTTGGACTTTTGCTATTACACAGCTAACTTGAACTTTAAAGTTGATCCATGAAGCACAAACAGCATCTCCGCCTATATCTAAAACCTTAGCTGCTTTGATTTAGATAGGAAAAGTAATCAATATGCATACTTACTGGCAGTCCCGCCACATAGTGGCTTCTTGTTACGGTTTAGTCATGCCATTGTGTGATTACATGGTTTATTGTTATCCACACCTTGTACGGTCACACCGTCTTGTGTGACCCGCCCTTTCAAACAAGAGTACGTGTAACTTTGTTATTTTTTCCCCTGTCAAATTTGTAAATACTCACAATTCATATGTAACTGTCGCCTCATAAAAGGCTCACGTGTCTAAGACACCGTTACATCTCTAAAGCCATCTTTACTCATTTTCTGCTGAATGAGCCCAGTGTCTATGACACGTAAAACACCCAGCCTAGCTTGTAACGAGTGCGCCCGCGGACAAAGCCCTTCTTCTTCTGCAGAGGGAGCATCTCCGGACAGTACGTCCGCGACCTCACAGGAAGCACATCCCAAGCTCTTGGCAACTGAGCGCAACACGCCGCACCAACAAAAGTTGAAAATTTAAACTTTTCAGAGTTCAAGCTTCGTACACTTAGGATCTTGTTTAAAGTCAAATTGAGGTTCAACCCAGTACACCCTTGATTGTGAACATCTGGCCGAACGAAATCCAAAATTTATTTGCGAAATTTCTAGGAGCAGTTGTATTTTTGCATATGGCTAGAAACCATTAACACATTTTTTGATTCAGATGCAAATTTGCATTCAATATCTTTAAGTAATTCTTCTTCTCTTCGTGTCGGGACAGCCTTCGTCCGCACATCTCGTCGCACAAGCGTGTGTGTTGTGTTAGAGGATCTGTTTGAAAACGCCATCTTACACCTAGTAGCTCTTGAAACGACTATTGATTTTAGTGTAATGATGCGGATGATATGCACTCGCGCATTCCAGATCAAGCAATACTCCTGTCCTTGTCCCAGCGACATGGGGGATTGAAATGTTTTCATTTATCTTAAAGGACTAGAAAGCACTCGAGCGGATGCGGCAAGTAATCGGAGAAGCTGACAACGATGATAAAAAAACGTGGCCGCCAGTTTCATGCATCATGAGATCTTGGAAGCAAGTCGCAATTCCTGTTTCTTTGCACAAAATGATGCCTTTGAAGCTGGATGTGTCTTTATATCGCGGTTGAGAGAACAAGCCTCTTTCAAGATGGTCTGTCAAGTTGGATGCAGCAATCACTGCAAAACAAATGCGAGCCCATGGTAGTAAGTGTTGTTCGCGACTTTCAGCCTTTTCAAAGTCAGTCTAAGAAAGGCATTTGACCACCCCAGAGTAGTTTGGTGCCCGTATCAAGTACTTGAAGTCTTAATAAGGTCGTACCAACCACTACTTGTATGCAAAACACGCTCGTTGCGAGCCAGTTGATTTGTTTATGGCGGATCTAAGTGATGAGTTGATCCGAAAACTACTGTTCCGTGAGTATCCAAGGTGCTAGACAATGCCGCCAATTGTGCGTAGTAAGGAGGGTTCAGCATCAAGCAAGCCAGACCCAATGGCTTCATATGAAGTCCAATGCGTCAGTCGACTGCTACAAGTAATAGACGAGAGCTGATGGACATCTCGCATATTTCGGCGCCTGACTCTAACCGTCCCCAAACGAAGGATGAAAAAATGTTGCGGGGGGGGGTGATCCATATTACTCAGAACTGTAAGGTCTCGCTACCAAGTCGGCAAAAGACAGGATAATTGCTCTGATAAAAGCGGACTTTATAAATGTCATCGATTTGAGCGCTTTTAAGAAAAAAACAGGATGACCGGTATGGCAAGGCTTCCTTATGGGCCCAAGAAGATCACTTTGGATGCTGTGGATTATGAAACTCTGGCACAAAGTGCATGGTACACATGCAGTTTTCTCTAGGAGTAGAAGTAGTGTCAGGCAAAGTACGACTGTATTGTCTAAGAAATCTTTGTCGATAGTTTTGAAAGGCCACTACAAGCTCTAATTGACACTGGTGTGTCGAATTACTTTGTTCGAGCGCGAGTTATGACTGGGCATGGCACAAACCTGCCCAATATGAAAAGGACATGACCATTCATCCTCAAATTGATCATCAATGGAGATGCCAAAGCACTCGCATGATACATGCTATAGAATTATTCTCATATTAACGATTGATGTTAACTGGGGTAACATATGAGAGGTTACCTTATTATACATTAGTGCTCTGGTAAACCGTCGATTGCATCTTAAACAAACATAAAGTGACTCCGGTCTTAGTTGGATGAGGCTGTCGATCATATTCGACTTGCTGATTTTAGTCCAGTAACATTTCGTGTCACGATTGGTGATTTCATCCTGATGAGATTGATCATCACGCGCAGGATGCGCAACGCTATGGATTAAAGCAAGATACAACACGTCTATGCTAGAGGTAGACAAAACACACACGATTATATCACAAGGTACATTTTTCGGTGAATTCAATATATTTACATACACACGCAGTGTCTGCGATTTATTCGACTAAGGTACCACCGCGCTACATTAGGCTGTGTGCAGTCTTAGCAAAGAATGAATTGAGTTAACACTTTTCGCTTAAAAAGAATGCGATCACACACTGTGCTCTACGTGAGCTTACCGAGGCCAAACCACGATCTCGCTGTTACGAGCCAGTCGGATGTAGAATGCTTTGATACAGACGAAGCAGGGTTCCTACTATCCCGTGTAGCTATGCTACCCTCTGATCCAAAGCAACGACGCGGGTTTCGAACTGCTGAGGGAGCCTCAAGTTCGCAGTGCGATAACGTAGACGAGAGTTCAAACCCGAGATTTTGTTCATCTCTGTTACAAACGCATACTGAGACGCTGGCAGAGACGACGTACCGCCGCAACCAAGAGGGCTCGCGCGAGAGCCAGCCGCAGGAGGATCGACACCCGCTAGGGATGTTCGATGAGAATGGGATGGCCCGCTCTCACGTTGAATGTTGGGTGGCTCGGCAGGTACACCAGGCCTTTCGGTCCAGAAGCACGCATACGATGTAAATCCCGGTCTTCAAGCCATTTTAGCGCCTTTACATCCGACTCAAATCGTGTCTTTTGAGGATCCATAACAATATCATAGCATACAAATCTTATTCTAAGCTCCGACTTTGTCTTGTCAAATTACCCCGGATTGTATTTCTAATCATTTAAGTTAAAATTTATCAACACTAGATGGAGGATGCGAGTCTTTCAGGTCAGCAGAGCAAACGTATGGTCTGATCAACGTGCAGAATGTATGCATGTCAACTCATATGCTAAGCTGTTCCTATATGTTTTACATTGTGCTTTTATCGGACGTAGTCACGGGCTTAGATGTACTGCAACATAACAACCAAAGTAACAGCACTGCGGCTTTTGATTAATATGTAAATGGACTGGTAGACATGAAAGATGTACCATAAATCTTATCCTAAGTGCGATGGAACAATGTCGAACTGTAACATCTCAACAGTTTGATGCTGTGCATGTTTGACTAAAGAACATATCGAGTTACTTTGTTTAAAACTTTGCAAAGCTTTGCTCTTCCACAATCAATCTTTGACCAGAGTGGGTCAATTTGGATAAGGCAAGAAGGACGCAATATTTTGAAAATTCGAGAGACAAGCGATTTAGCATCGACTTCATGTACGGTTTAACTTTGATCGATATGACAAAAATTGGGTGTGATTATCATTAAAGGCTTACGATTCTCGCGCCATTTCGTTTTGATAACAACGTGTGGGAAATCTGGATAATCACATCATAGTCTTAAGCTCCTGCAAAAACTCGGTTTTCTCCGGAGAGTCGCGAAATAAAGACCTGCCATTTTTAACAGATCATACGTTAATAAGCAATACTTTCAGCAACATTTCTTTTGCATTGCGACCTTATAAGTGCAGCCAGCTCTCTTGGAGAAAATATATCAAGACTCCTTCTCTGGAATTTATAACGAACTGTCGTGAGTGGATCCATCTAAAAAAAGTAGAAAATACACGATCAGTTTTAATTTGCAAATGTGAAAATTTCACGTCGTACCATCATTAACGTCAGTTTCGATAGTTTTTCAAGTTCCGGAACATATTTATTAGCTTGAGCAGGCGAATCGAATAGTAATTCAGACTGCATAAACGGTAAAATCAGTACTAAATGAACTTGATGGACTCGACCCTATTTTGGTGCCTTACCTCCCTCAGCAACGTCAGCAAGTGGTGGAGGTGAACTTTGGTGAATTCCGAAATATTCTAATGTGAAATGAAACAATTAGCTAGGAAAAATTAAACTAAGATGATAAAATCCAAACCGTTTGAGTCAGGATGTCTTCCATTATTTTTTTTACCAGCGGCTCGAGCATCCTTGACATGACTTTGTTGTAAACCGCCAGTGGCATTCCTTCATGCCATGAGGAGCTTATCGTATTGAGCTTATAAAGCGTACTTTTCAAGAAGTTCTCAGCGCGCTTTGATTCAGATTCTGAATCAATTGCACCAAGCAACTACAGAGGCAGTAAGCGCCAAGATTACACATTAGCTTAAAGTATCTTGATTCTGCAATACTTGTGGCCATACCTGTATCAAATACAAGCCGGACAAAATCTCTTCAACTTGAGCTGAGGTGTATGATGTCAACGCAAATTCACCGGCGTCTCTAAAGGAAGGAATCATATCCACCATTGTTGCGGTCGGATTAAATGGCACTCGAAGCCTAATGATCAGTGGCAACATGTCAGTGTGAAAGATGTATTTTAGGTACTTCAGAACATACCGCTGTTTGTATAGATAGCCAATTACCACCATGTGGTACGTCATGTATAGACAATCGTTATGATAGAGCATGCAAGTTTGAGCGTTGTTTGCAATCTCCACTTTGTACAGCGTAGGAACAATCGAGCGAAACAGAAGGAACAGATCGCGAGCTGTCTGAAAGAGCAGATTTGCGTTCGACACGCTTGCGGTGCAAGCCTCAAGAATCGTCTGGTGAGCCAACTCAACCATTTCATGCGCACAAACACTAACGCGATAGTCAGGGACTTGGAAGCAGCTACTATCAACATGTTCAACAGCCAAATTGACGAATAGAGTACTTGTCTCAGCATTTCCCTTGCTATCGTCTTTTCCTTTACTGCGCGAATAAGCAGGCGCAGTAAGATTGCACTTTTCCGAGTTGTTGTTCACCTTAACTGAATTAACATAGCCTCGATGTATCAAATCGCGTCCGCTACCAAGAATCACTTGACGGCGTTTTTTCGAGTGCAATCTACGCATTAAGTGTTCTGCATAAGTCGCGTCCTACAATCATGCAGGCATTTTGCAACGTACTGATTGAGCTGGTCCACCATCCCTCGCAGCTGATCAGTGCAAGCCGAGAAGCCAAGCGTCACCAGCGTATCATCTAAGCCAGTGATCTACGTGAAGCAGTTACAAAGGTAGTAAGAAGACTTTATATTGTGTGCCTGTATACTGTGTACTTCGCACTCACAGCCGTCGTGAGAACTTCTCGAAAAGCCTCGATTGCAGCAAAGTCTTGCGGAATTTCTTCTTGCAAAATATGCAGAAGCTGAGCCTCCAAATTTCCCGGAATTTTCCACAATACGTCTCCGAACTGATTCATCAGCTCAGAATTCCCCTCAAATACTTCGGCGTGTACAAAGTGAAGCACGCCCACCACGTTAGCATACTTACTCTGCAGCTCTGCTACTTCGTCGTCATTGCACGCATCATCTCGAGGCACAGCTTGGAGCAAAATTCCATCTTCACAACGTATTTGCTTGAGCATCCCGCACGGCATTTGCAGCATTGGCTTTATCATTTGTTGAGACAAGGTCTTGGCAAGATCTTTTAGCCTTGGTGCCAGAATATTCAAAATTTTGCATGCTTTCCAGTAAGCAGAGCTTCGACCTTCTTCACTGACTCTTGTTGTCTCAACTTCATTAATTTCTATCTCTGCCATCACCTTCACCATATTTTCTTTCAACTTTATTGTACAAGCGAAGTATTTCGAAAGTTCGTGAAGCAACCGATTCTTCTTACTCCGCAGCTGCAATTCCACGACTTTTATAAGTTTTAGATCCGTCACGTTGTCTACCTCCTTCACCTCTTCCTTTAGTAAATCATGGACTAATTTCTCGCCTTCAACAACTCCTTCAGCCGCCGTGACAAAGTCTTTGCGGTTGATAGCTTCGTCTACATCATGTAGAAGTCCATCAATTGTGATTAACTGCTCAATAGCCATCAACATGATTTGCGACTGCTGCAACTGCTTCCTAAGCTGCTCTCGATTCATCCAAGAAAGCATCAGTTGTGCCTCGGGTGCAATCTCGGCGGCTTCGTCCAACTGCAACCGGTCGACAGCGTCCAATATGGCTACATTTAAACGTTGCATCGTATCTTGGAGGTCGGATGCATCAGCGCCATTAACTTTTGTAGAAAAAGCGTGCGGTGGGCCCCATTTTGCCGCGATCTCAGCAGCTGCATCAGCAGAAAGTCTCGACGACGATGCGTAGAAGGAGCGTAAGGCTTGGACAACTTGATCTTGTACCTGAAGTATTTCGTTGTGCGTCTCGTTGACTTTCCTGTAGCGTATTAACGATTAGTGTTTGCTTATTGTGTGCAAGGAAAGCTAGATGCTTACTGCGTTAACGTATCCAGCATTTTCATCTCAAATCATTCAAAAAAGACAGAACATTTTGTTTCATTTCTTATGGAATCACACCAGATTTATAAAATCTGGACATTGCGAAATATTACATTATTTAAAGCATCCTAAAACTGCCTCAGCCCAGTATACCGCTAATGTAGCGTGCTTTTGCGCCATCTCAAGCATAATCATCTCCTCGGTGACACGTATGAGACATGCCACTTGTTTGAAAAGCAACACATGCGTCAGCACCTTCGATTAGTATGGCAGTTTCGGCAAAGCGCTGGCAGTCAATTTGACTTGATATTCGTACAAAAGGTGCGTCCAAAAATATCGGTATTGTGGTATTCGTGGGCCATCTGTGCTACGGGGCTGCCGTAGCTCTTTCGCTTAGAAGATGCTTACTAAGGTCACCAAACTTCGTGCTATACTTAGAGCCAGTACGAGAGTAGCGAATTGCAATCCGCTTACTCCAACAGTAAGCACAACCTTAACCCAAGGCGAATAAACTCCTCCGTATAAAACTGTATATCTTGGCTTATTTGCAGCAAAGCCGACTATATCTATCCGAGCGGTTTAAGGCTACAGTTTAAGGCACTGGTCCGAAAGGGCGTGGGTTCGAATCCCACATTGGCCAACCAAG